CCACCTACGGGTCTCCCTGTTCTAATTTTTTCCCCTCCCTACTCCACTCCTTGCACCTGTTCTCTGAAAATCAAAATATATATTTTTAAACAGAAAGTTAAATCATGCCACTACCCCAACTGAAGACCCCCGCGTGACTCCTCAGCATTGATAGAATAAATTCTGAAATGTTTTTCTGTGGCCTATATAACCTGGCCCCATGCTTGCATTTCTCACATTGTATCCCACACTCTGCAACCATTCCTCAGCATGTCAGGCCCAGCTTCATTTTAAAGCCTTTGGCTGTTCCTCCTGGGATGCTTTCCCCTCATTCTCACCTGACCCCCAGTATAAATGGTACCTGCATAACCAGGCTTTTCCCAAGCGTCTCTTTGAAATACAGTAGCTTCCGTTTTCCTACCTTGCTTGCTTGCTCTTAACTTTCTAACTCTTAAAACCTTTGTTTTTCTTTCTTTTTTTTTGGTGTGTGTGTATAAGAAAGATATTTATATGCAGGAGCAATTGTACATTGAGAAAGCATCCCAGCCCAGTGCAGATCAAGTCCCTAAGTCCAATATTAGCCCATATGTCTCATACCAATCTATAAAGTTCTCTTCAGACTCACAAACCACATGTAATGAAGTCAAATGCAGGATGATCACAAGCCAGTGGGTAGAAAGTCTTTGGATCCAGTGGCATTGTAAGCATCTCAGCACTGGCAGGGGTTTCTATGTGGCTTCTCCGGTTGCATCAGGGTAGGTTCATGTGGTTTCTCCAACTGAGGGCACTAGTGTAGTTCCATGTGTCTTGTCAGCTGCAATGTTTCCCATTGTTTTTCTATAGGAGAATTATCTCCACCTGAAACCATCTACTACATTTATTCACACCTATATTTATTGTTTTCTATTATAAAATGTAATTTTTATTAAGGCGAGATTTTGTCCTGTTCACCAGTGCTGAAATTAGTTCTTGGCATATACATGGACTTCAGAAAATATTAATTGAATAAAAGATATATTTTTCCTATTAAAAATGCAGTGCATCTAATGTATGTAATGACACAGGTATATAGTGCCACATGCATAGGTGTATGTGACTTTAAAGCAGGTGACACAACCTTGCTTGCTGAAAGCGAGGAGGACTTGAAGCGCTTGCTGTTGATGAGTCAGGATTGTAGCCTTTAGTGTGGATTACAATTTAATGTGAGGAAGGCCAAATCCTCACAACTGGACCAATAGGTACCATCATGATAAATGGTGGAAAAGTTGTCAAGGAGTTTGTCTTGCTTGGATCCACAATCAATGCTCATGGAAGCAGCAGTCAAGAGATCAAAAAGCACGTTGCATTTGGTAAACTTGTTGCCCAAGACCTCTTCAAAATATTGAAACGCTCTAGCTTGTCATGTTTTCTGGCGAAACCACTTGCAATGCACCCATTCTTTCAACTATTTATAGTTATTTAAGATTTCAAATACTGGAATATTAGTCTGGTTGAAAATTTAACTTTGCCAGAGTAAAATATGCACAAGTGTTGAATTTTCCGACTTCTTAAGTGCACTGTGTACATTTAGTTTAGGTATGTGGACATGGTCATTCACAAAGGCAGATGATCAGAGACTGCACACTGTTAGGAATATTACAGTTGATAGCAATGCAATTGGTCATTGAGTTGATTTTATGTTCAGCAAAGAGGCCCTAGGAATAGGTGAAATTCTCTGCTCATTTAGAGTGGAAAATATTGGTGCAAACATCATCACCAGCCTTTATGAAGTTGTCTAACTAATGGCTGCTGCAGCTGTGTCCGGGTAGAACTGTGCTCTCTGAGGTTGGCAATGGCTGAGTTTCTTAAAGCTGAGAAACAGAGCTTTGTTCCAAGATGCTGCTGAGTAGTCTCCAAATCTCAAGCTTTGGGTTAGCAGTCGAGTGTGTTTCAATTTGTACCAACTAGAGATCAACGCATCACGTTGTTGTCCAGTGCCATCGAGTGCGTGCTGACTCATGGCAGCCCTGTGTCCAACAGAAAGAGACACTGTGCCCCTTCACAATCAGTGCTATGTGTGAGCTCGTTGTTGAAGCCACTCTAATAATTATCTTGTTGAGGATTGCTCTCATTTTTTTCCTGACACTCTATCAAGCATGATGCCTTTCTCCCAGAACTGGTCTCTCCTGGTAGCATGCACAAAGTATATGAGAAGTCCCATCATCTTTCCTTCTAAGGAACAACTTGGCTGTCATTCTTCCAAGACAGTGTTCTTTTGGTATATTCAAAAGTCTTCTCCACCCATAACAATTCAAATGCATCAGTTCTGCTTTGGTCTTCCTTATGCCCCAGCCATTGTTCGCATGAGTATGAGCCAATTAAAAACACCAGTGTTTGGGCAAGGTGCACCTAGGTTGCCTGTGAACACTTTGAAAAGGTATTTTGCAGTAGCTTTTGCCCATTGGCATATGCCATTTGATGTCTTGAATGCTGCTGCTTTGGGCTGTGATTATGGATCCAAGTAAAAATGAAATCATTCACAATTTTTATATTGTCCCCATTTCTCATGTGTTACCTTACCTTATTGTGAAAGCGTTTCTTTTTAAATATTGAGGCATGATGCCTCATGAAGGCTGTAGTTCCTGATGTCCTCTTCACTGTCAACATGCAAAGTTTGTTAGCTGTGGAGTACAGACTCATAGTGAGTCTTCCGGTCTTAACTTTGTGTCCTTCTTTATAGTCCAGCTCGTGGACTGTTTGTCAGCATACAGATGGGATAAACATGGTAAAAGATGCAACCCTGTTGCACTGGGAAGGCTTGGACGTTACTGTATGCTGGAAATTATGCCAATAGAATTGAACATGCCAATAGGATCACCCATGGTAGACAGGTTTCAGCAGACCTACGAGACAAAGAGATTAAAAATAATGTTTTGACACGCTACTTCTGAAAAAACGTCCAGTGAAAAAGCTTCTGACTATCCCCAGAACCCTGTCTTATATAGTGCTGTACAACAAGCTCCCAGATCGGAGGGCACAAGAAGCATTGCTGGCAAAGAGCAGAGTTGACCTTTATGAGGTGTATAGAGTAAACCTTTGGGGGACCTTCATTTGCAGATGAGATATGACTCAAAATGAGAAGAAACAGCTGTAAACATTCATTAGTAAACAGAGTATGAAATGTTTGAGGTATGAATCTAGGAGAAAGCACCACAGGCCTTGCAAAACGAGCCATGCTATTTAAATCTTCTAATTTGAATACAGGAGCAAAAATCAATTTGTATTGGTTCTTGTTTCGTCTTCCATAACATTGAACATCAGCTCCTACTATGTAACACATGATTGCTTCATGGTTTATTGTTCTTTGCTTAGTGTTTACGAGGGCTACCCAAAAAGGACCAGGAAAAAGTTCCACTGGGCAGAGCTTTCGTAGGACACATTTTCCCGCTAGGTGAGCATCAAGCAACCAGCTCTGAGTTAGTGCACCCAGTGGTGTCGCCTAGGAAGGTTCTCCCCAGTCACAGTGAATTTTTTCTTAAAAGCAGTTTCACTCCAGCCTCGTTTTTTGTGATGGCTGATTTGAGAGAACAGCATGAGGCCATGACATTTTGTTTCCTGCTTGGGAAGAATGTTGCAGAAACTGTTGTGCTGTTCAACACAAAGGTGAATTGTTGATTGGTGACAAACCTTGTTCTGGACTGTCTTGTCAACTTCCTGAATGGATGAAAATGTTGACTAGTGGTGTATTTGGAGTTCATTCCACCAGATCAGACTGTTAATCAAGCTTTCTATTTAGAGATTCTGAAAAGATTGCCTAACAATGTGTGACAATAAAGGCCTAATTTGTGGCAGGCAGGGGACTGGTTTTGCCACCACGACAATGCATCTGCTCACGCAGCCATCTCGGTGTGCCAGTTTTTGGCAAAAAGCAGCAAGCCTTTCTTGTCCGAACACCTTACTCACCTGGTCTTGTTCCTTATGACTTCTTTTTGTTTCCTGGAATTCTGAGGGACGTGAAAGGACGGTGATTTGATGATGTAGAAAAGGTGAAGGGAAACAAATAAGGAGGTGCTGTCAGCCATCTAAACAGATGAGTTAGAAAAATGTTTCCAAGAATAGAATTGCAGATTTGACAAATACATTATGTGTAATAGAGCATATTTTGAAGGTGATAAGGTTGTTTTGTAAAAAAAAGTTAAATGTACAGTTTTTGGGCGGGGAAGGGGGGAATCATCTTTAGGGGGGATACCCCCTCCGATATAACCCATATTCTGTTTATTCCTTCTATAAATTTTGGTTGAGATTGGGCTAAAATGCTCAATCTACAGCCTAGACTTGAGCTTGGTAATTTAAATACTCCAGGGGCCAGAAGAGTTGAGAGGACGTGCACGCTAATTTAGGCAAAGAATTTTCGAACAAATGAATTGCTTTCTCTCTGCAGTCAGAACGTAGGGGTGGCCTCTCTTTACTGCACATGTTAATTACATGGGGAACAGCAGCATTTTAATTCCTGGGTCACGTCCAACTGCAGATGAGCTTGGGCAATCGCGTTTCCGGAGTGACGTGTTGGTGCTGTGAGTGCCCTTCTCTTCAAAGGGCGTATTAGTTTGGAACTTGCCAGATGTATTGAGGAACGGAAGAATTTCAAGGCCTGTGATAAAAATTATAAACCCTTCAGGCTCTGAGCTTAAGGTGGATTATATTTGGGTATTTACTGCAGTCTTAAAAGCTCCTGATGGTGACTGTTGTCTGTATACAATCCAAGTCACCTTTGTTCAGTCATTCCCTTTTGGAAATTGGTCTAAACACATCATTAATTTCCTTCGGTTACCTACGTGGGCTTTGCTTTCTTTCTCTTCTGTGAGGTCCCGGCGGAAAGGGCAGAAGGCGGGATGTAGAAGGAAGTTGCCTTTCTCCGGTCCGTGTGTAGACAGAGAAGTCGGCAGAACCTGGGTATTCCAGTTTCCGGAACAGGTTATTTAAATAACACCTGCATGTGGAGCACCCTTTGCTTCAGTAATTGACGGTCTTTTCTGCTGCAGGCACAACCCGATCTCCAAGAGAGGGAGAGGTGCCAGGCGTGGACTACAACTTTCTGACTGTGAAGGAGTTCCTGGACCTCGAGCAGAGTGGGACTCTTCTGGAAGTCGGCACCTATGAAGGTGAGTGTACCACTCAGCAGTATGATGAGGCCGCCTGAGAGGGTCCAGAACCACTCAGGCAAACATGCTTCATAAAGTAAGGAGGCCTGAAGCAGACCTAGGAGACTGCAGAGCACCCTGATATGATTCATAATAATAATAATATATGGAATAAGGCTTTCAGAATTCTGTAAATTAAAAAAAGATGTAGCTCACAGCCAGTGAGCCGATGCCTACTCTCAGTGAGCCTGCAGGACAGGGTGAACTGACCCTGTGAGTTTCCGAGTCGACAACTCTTTGCAGGAGTAGAAAACCCTGTTTTTCTCCCAAGGAGTGGCTGGTAGTTTCAAACGGCAGACCTTGTGGATCACAGACTAACGTGTCACCACTATGCCACCAGGGCTCTTTTTATAAGTACTGTATACACATATGTTTTTTACAGTCACTTTCACATGTAGTTCGTTGATTTAAATGTTTGATCTTGTTTTTAAATAAGGGCCTGTATGGTATTGGAAAGAAAAGGAGAAACAATTGTGGTTAATTATAAAATGTGACTTTATAGAGTTTTAATTGTGTTAAACATGGATGAAAAGATTGTCATTTTAGCCACCATGATTGTCGTTCAGTGACTTCTAGTCGGTTCCGACTCACAGGGGCTCCGTGTATAACAGACTGGAGGAAACATTGCCCAATCCTCCTGCACCATCTTCAAGGTCATTGTGATGTTTGGGCCCATTGTTGTAGGACACACACACACACACACTCCCCTCCCAACCAGAATCTCCCGTCTCAAAGCTATGTACTTGTAGGACACACACACACACCACCACCACCACCCCGCTCCCCCACCACCCCTAGAATCTCCTGTCTCAAAGCTATGTACTCAAATTTTTTATAAAGCAACCTTATCACCTTCAAAGTACTCTCCATTACACTTAATACATTTGACAAATTTGCTATTCCATTCTTAGAAACATTTTTCAAATTGATCTCTTTGGATGGCTGACAGCACCTCCCTCTTTTTTTTTTTTCTTCACCTCTGCTATGTCATCAAATCACCGTCCTGTCATGTCCCTCTTCATTCATGAAAACACACATAAGTCACATGAATCAAGGTTGGGTGAGTAAGGTGAATGGGGCAAGAAAGACATGCTGTTTTCTGCCAAAAACTGACACAGTGAGATGGATGCATGAGCAGGTGCATTGTGATCATGGCAGTACCAGTTTCCCATCTGCCACAAATCAGGCATATATATTATATTAATATATATATAATATATAATTAATATATATTAATCATTTTATTGGGGGCTCATACAACTCTTATCACAATCCATACATACATCAATTGTGTAAAGCATATTTGTATATTCATT